GTGCTTTTTATGTCTCACCTACCGATTCCCCGCTTTCCCTTGCTTTCGTGATGGAATGCATCTACAATTATACTGCCTATTAATGAGGCGTGAGCAAGCGAGGTCTCGGAAGTGTACGAGATGAAGAGCGAGGTGCTCAGAAAACATAGGTATAGGTTTGAATCCCGTCCAAGGCCAAAATTTTGCTCACAACCTGCCAACCTTGTAAGATTTTCGCATCGCGTACTGGGACGAGAAACTGTTAGCAAATTATAAATAAACAGAGTAACAAAAGAAAAAGAATAAAGCAATCAATGGTGCTAAAAATATGAGCCTACCATCTCCTCGAAAAGGTAGTAATGAATGATAGAGGAAGATTTTTCATGATCATTCCTAGCCACAAACGTTGGTAGTGCAGTGTCTTTTTTTCTTGCACAGAACGTAATGGACTAATACCTATTAAGTTCGCCCTGTTCATCAAAAATTATCCATTGGAACCCGTACCGGCAGGCCCCGTATCACCAAAGGACGACGGCTCTTCAAGACGTGGTCTGCAGATTCTCAGAAAAGTTCATACGACCCCCTCCCCCCACCCCCACAGGGGTCAGCTACTTCGATCCCAATTGGTCTCAATGGTTTGTAGGAAAAAATGATGATTAAGCCAGTGGATTGTAGAGTTTGCTGTTGAGCAGAACGACATTTCGACTGGCCACATCATGATTGAAGAATGTAATGAAAATGTAAGGAAAAAGACGACAAGTCGCATGTGCATGACTAAGCTTTGACCAATAAATTTTCCAGAGCATCGGAACCCCTTCTTCTCCAGCCATCTGCAGAGCTTTGAACTCTGATGACGAGGATTTCTGGAGAGGGAAGAAGAAAATGGGAAGTAGAGAGATCGCAACAAGTCAAGCCATTGCCACCATCGTCGCCAACTACGGTCGTCCACCCCAGATTGCACCCAATATATCAACTTTTTGCTACTCGTTCAGCTCATCCGCAACGTCCCAATTGGGGCTAAGCAAGGACATCTTATGCATAGGTGTGAATGTCATTCATCAGAGCTACTGAACCAATCATCTCGGAGGACACCAGGCCAGTCACTGTGGTTGTTGGTTTGTTTAAGACGAAAAAGGTCTACAAGGAACCATAAGCTAAACATCACTCGAAAAGTCATTAAAAGTCCCGCCTTTTCACGGACTCCGCCCTTAATCGAAGAGGCACAAGTGTGAGCAATATTAGATGAAAAGTTTGTGACTAGCCTGAGGAACTGAATCTGCTTTCCCTAGAAAAAGAAGACCATAATGTCAATGCAGAAAAAGAGCTATCGCAACTGAAAAGCCTCACTATACTTCAGGAAACCCGCCCATATCACGAACCCCGCCCCTTCCGATGGTGACAAACTAAAGTTGAGAGTCCTTCCCTACTATACAAAATTGTGAAATACGGTATGTTGGAACCAGAGAGTCCCCGTAGGCACTGCATTCATTTTTCTACAATGTTGTGGAAATTGACCTAATGACACATAGAACATGCTCAGAGAAACGTCAACCTTATGATGATATACAAAGAGGTGGGAGGTAAGGTAGGGAGGCATAATTAAACGGTAGTAAGCCTAGCTGGGCACCCAGGTAATCCGAACCTGATTACACCTGGCAGTAGCAGCAGTCATGCTATTGATTAGAAGAAGCCTTGCTAGTTCACAGGCTTCGGCAAAAATTAGAAATTCACAAAAATAGTAAACAAATGGTCCGAAAACATGAAGGCCAGAGGGAAGGGAACGAAGTTGATCGCGCAAAAAAATCCGTACAGGTGTGAATTGCTTTGCACTTGCTAAAAAAAACTCGTACAAGCTAAAGAATATGCTCAAGATAAGTCCGGAAACTCGTCCGCGTCCCACCTATAACATAGCATATTCGCCTATAACCTTTGGTCAAATACACATTTCGGCTTACTAAGTGGGTATGGCAACTCACAGATAATTACGGCCTAGAGGTCATGATCCATTAAGATCGTACCTTGAAACCCTAAGGGAACATCCTTTGATGGATAAAAGCAATCAGGAATACTAAATGGATCGATTAGGACCTCTTTCATAGCCTTCTGACAACCTTCCTGGGATTACCCAAATGCCCCTAACCTATAGAACCCACTTGTTGTGACATGGGTTTATGTCCATTTACTATACTACTTACTACTATACCTTACCGTCAATGAAACTAATGGATTCTTCGGTTATAAGCCATTGCCTAATTCTAGTAACTTTCCAGGATTATGTCCCCTAGGGCATTTAGGATCCCTAAAAAGGTAGGAATCTTATGTTCTTCCGTGGTACAAGTTCAAACAGTGGAATCTATTCCTGATCGCTTTTTCCTCATTACCTTCTGCATCGACAAACTTCAATTTCAAGTAATCATAACCGTTTGGATCACTTAGCTCTACTGATAGAACGAAAAGTTGAAGTAACCTAAGTTTCGGAAAGCAAGATACCAACATGTGGGGATATGGCTTCATGCCTTTCGCCAGTAGAAAAAATGTCGCAAAAAAGTTATTTATTGGAAAAATGTGCTATTTTCGGGAAAATTCCCATTTGATATACACCAGACCAAATATATCAGCTCTAGGAAGCTTTTTCCCATTGGAACAAAACAACAAAGTTGATTAGTTCCCATGGGTGAAGGCTAAAATCCCCAAGCAAGAGTCTCGACGATGATGACTTGAAAAAAAAAGCTGAAAACGGTCGGTCAGATAAATATGAAATTACTATAGCAACAAGAGGCTTCCTAATCCCTAGCCCTAATCCTATAATGGATAATATTAGATGGGAATGGGCACGGATTAAGCATTGAACTGGTGACAAGAGTAAAATGTAAATGACCAGATAAAACATCGAGTCAGGAAAAGATCCACTATTCCCGAGAGCTACCTGGGAAAGGCAAGAGCAGTTTCAGTTGGGAAAAGACGGCTCTCTACGGAACGCCATTGAGATAGTCATCAGAGAGCAACGTCTCGGTCGAGAATGGCCTTGGAGGATAACTGAAACCGGCTGTGTTTGTCGAGAAAAACCAATGACCAGATGAGCGAGATTGGGAGATTCCTTAGCAAAAACAGTACAATGCACAAATGTCCAAGAAATTTTGCCTTAACTGAGTAAGAGTAAAGCTAGAGCTCCTCGAAGAAAGAGTAGAGATCTAAAAAAAATATTCTGATAGCTCGAAATTACCATTAAGCAGAACTTTATAAGAATTTTCTTGAGGAAAGTAGGAAAAGGACATCAGTTCCGATAATTGGACGCGCGGAATCACCGCGCGCGAGCGGAATGCGCCAACCAGAAGACCGACGACATTCTCGACGGTCACTGCATAAATTATAAATCTCAGCTGTCCCCACCATTTCTCCCCGGTAATTAGGTCCATTCGTCTCCTTTAGCCCTTTCGTCGCATGTGTGGCTCAGGCTCTTAGCAAGGAGGAAAGAGGGAGATCGAAAACCGGATCTAATGACACATCACTCAAGAGCAAGCTGTAAGCGAAAAATCAAACTCGGGAGACTTCTGGGAAGACTGAAGGGAGGTGTTAAAGAAGTCAAACCTTGAGGGAGGACGAATAGAAGCCTTACGAGCCTAAAGTTCTGTAAGTAAAATTGTAAAACGATGCTCCAAACAAGGAGAAAGCGGGGTGGAGGTGAATGAGGAGTGGGTGTAGGTGGGAGAGAAGGGCGGAAAGGGAAATATGGCCTGAACTCTGCCGCTTACACGTGGTGAAATGTGAATCGTTCGGGTCATGGAGCAAAAATTGATTTCAGGAACGCCATTCGATGACTGAACGCTGGCTGGGCACCAGAGCAACAGGCCTGAGCCAAATGGGCTAGCCGGGTGCTAGGAGCTAATGCGGTCTATCCGGGAGCCATTTCCTGACTGAGGGTGCTAATCGTCTATGGCATAGCCTGTTTGAGGCGAAGACAAAGACAGGGAAGAGGATCGAAAGCT